GTTTCTGTATGATAGCAAAGATTGCAAGAAGTGGATCGACTAGCTGAGAAAGCCGAAGATTATAACAAGGCAGTGGAAGAATTAAGGACGGTCTTAGAAGAAAGGGACGAGCTCCGTAAAGAGAATTACGAACAGAATTGTTTATTAAAAAATCAGGAAGAGAAATTGAATCAACTGGTAAAAGTAGTCAAAGAAATGTCAGTTGCATATAATGAACAGGTACGTCGTCTTCGTCTCGTTCAATCTTCCCTCGAATTAACTATTGCGATAATTAATTAGATGGAGGAGAAGAATATGTACGAGCAGTTGAAACTGGAAGCTCGCGATAAGGATGCGAAAATCTGTGAATATGAAGAGCAATTGGTTTCTATGAAGCAGGAGATCAGCGATTTCTTTAACAATTTAAAAACTGCTTTGAACAATTTGGAAGAGATGAATGACGTCTGCGAGGACATTTGTAGTTGCACTACGTGCGACTTGGACATCGGCGAAGAAGCGAATAATATTCTATATAATATAAATATAATCATGACAAGGCTTCAGACTTACAAGACGGAGAGCCAGTATCTTTTGCAACAGATCGGAGACTTGAAATATTATGTAGGGACTGACAAAGAAACCGATCGTAATCGAAACTTGAAAAGCATTATTTGCGAGGATTTCTATTTCGATTCTGAAACGGTATTCACATTTGTTATTAATTTCACTGAAATCTCTTCGATACGTATTAAAATATATGCATTTCCCACTAGGAGTATAATAAGTATATTTGCAAATTAAGCAGAAACGATATGGACGAAGTAGAGAGAGAAGTGATCCAATACTTCGCACGTTTCTTGATCAAATTACGCTCCCTTATAAGCAAGCTGCAAATATATGTAGAATTCGAACGTCCATTAATGATTAAGCAGACTTATTATTTTTATGAAATCCTTAAAGACACCCAATCAGCCGTCAACGTTTCCGAAGGTATTTATCTTTCTTCCTCAAACGTACAAATAAATATATTTTCATAGCCTTGGCTTTTCAATCTTCTTTAATGTCTTATCTAGCATTCTTAGCTCCACCCTTTTCCTTTCTAATATCTCCCTAATACAGTATTCCCCTCTGTTTAAATCCTCCAGCCTCATCATCAACGTTGCTCACCACCTTTTACATATTCAAATTAGGAATTAATTCATATATTTTATAGATGTAACATTGAGGAGGCAGCTGCTTTCCGATTTGTACAACCAACATAAAGAGGAGCACGAGAGATATAACTCATACGTGAAACAACTACCGAACGATTTGTTGCAAGTACAGGACAAAATAAACGAATTTATTGAAGACATTTTGTATCAGTTATTAAACGAAATGTTGCACGCGGAGAAGGAACATTTGTATGATGAGAAAATAAATCAAGCATTCGAGACACATTTCAGATCCTGCATCAACAGGATAGATGCAGC